TGCACTGCCCTAAGGAGAGTTGGAGGGAGCAACAGAGGGAAATGTGTGGCCACAGAGGATGATAATCCTTCTCTCTGTGCAAGTTGGGGCTGCCTATATTGGTTCTTGGGTTTCCTACTTTTCTAAGTCTATAGCACATCCAAAGAAAAATGAGTTTAGAAACCATGCAATGTGGTTATCATTGGACCTATTTTTTCTTTTTAGAAATAATTCAGTGAATGTCTATCTTCTATATATGCACTAGTATCCCAGACTCTGGATATTGCTGAAAGCAGCAGTCATTGTCTTCAAGGTAATTCCGTGAGGCTGTAGTGAAGGGTTAGTTTACAGGGCAGGAAAATAGACTCTGTGATTGAGAGGTACTGTGCAAATCCTGGGAGAAAAAACAAATAAGGGAGGAACAGGGAAAGTCAACATTTTGGAGAGAAGGTTATCATGGGAAAGTACAGCCTCTGGTTCCTGGGAGAGCTTGGGCAGGAGGTGATTGAGCATTGGTCACAGGTGTCTGACAGGTTCCACACTGATTGCAAGGAAGCACTGAATGACCTTAAAGGATTGTGACTTCTTCAGTATTTTTTAAAACTCTGTTTCCCTGTGAGTGGGCAAATGAGACCAGAGATGCACGACTCACAAGGAATCCTTCACAGCTTCTGACTCCTTGCATTTCCCATGGCAGGGAGTGAAGAAGTATAAATAAACAGAGAGCTTCCAGGGACCATGGGAAGCAATAGCTGGGGCACAGGGAGAAGTGGAGGGATTTGTGTCATTGGTTGACCTCCTTAGGTTAGGAATTCTAGCAGAGATCCAAAGTGCTCAGAGACCACATAGAGTATTCTAGAAGGACCCTTGAAGTTCGTAATGAGTTTACTCAATGTTCTGCCTCTTCTCACAAAATGAGTGTTCTTCCAGAAAACCCTGAGCACAAGTTGAACACCAGGAAGAAGGAGGTTGTGCTTTCTGGATGCAGATACTAGAGCATTCTGCTGTTTTAGGTTGCCTGATCGTACCACAGAACTCCATGCATAACCTGAGGCGTTGGCTTGGACTGTGCCCTGTGTAGGGCCACCAAGCTGAGAAGTCAGAGGGGGCTGGCATCCAGCTCATAGCCTACACTCTGGACCCTTGAGCGGAACTGGGGTATATTAGAGGTAGAGTCTTCTCCTCATGCAAAGGGACCCTGCAGCCAGCTGCAGCTCTGCCTCCCTACTCTCCAGCCTCCTAAACCCTACTCAACTGTCCAAATCTAGTTATATGCCAGTTGTTCCATTCACCACCCTCCATGCTACCATCTATACACAATCAATTGCTCCTTTCTTAACTTTCTCAGAGCACCTCATTGACTACTCTGTTACAATAGTGTTCATAGTCTAAATTGTTTTATTATTGCAGTTACATGCTGCCCTCTGAAGACATTATTTCTCTTTTGGGGCTTTCATACTGTCATGGAGAAGCTAGTGCCATTTTGTTGCTGTTGCTTTGTAGGTAATATATCTTTTCTCCCTGAATGCTTTGAAAATGATCTCTTCACCTTTGGTGTTCACAGTCTCACTATGATGGATTATTGTAGAGTTCCTTTTATTTAATCTCTTTGGGATTTATTTGAGAATGATATTTGGAGAATCGTCATCTTGAATATTGAATATTCCATTGAATATTTCTTCTGTGTCATTCCTATGTTCTCCTTCTGGATTTCCAATTAAATACATTAAATTTTTTTTAAAAAACATCTTTTGTATGGCCGGGTGTGGTCATCACACACCTGTAATCCCAGTGGTTTGGGAGGCTGAGGCAGGAGGATCATGAGTTCAAAGCCAGCCTCAGCAACTTAGTAAGGCCCTAAGCAACTCAGCAAGACCCTGATCTAAATAAAATACAAAAAAGGGCTGGGCATGTTGTTCAGTGGTTAAGCGCTCCTGAGTTCCATCCCTGGTACCAAAAAACAACAAGTGAACAAACAAACAAAACTTTTATAAGCATATGTCTTTGATGACTATAAAAATATTTCTGGAAAAAAATTTAAAATATCTCTATTGTTTTATAACTCTAGGTTTCATTCTGGATAACTTATTTGACTCCACATTCTAGTTCACTGATTGATCCTTAGGTAAGTATGTGTTTAATTCCACACCCTAATGTCTAATCTCCTTGAGGTAAGGAACTACATCTATTTCTTTTTGGTTTAGAGTCTGATACATGGTCAGTGATCGATAAAGATTTGCTGAGATGAACTGGCCGGGAGGCCAGGAGGCCAGGGAGTCAGTGGTTAAACTTATCTTCATATGACTGCAAGGTAGACATATGTGCTGAACTATAAGTTGATTATCCAGTAGCAAGGAAAGAGGGATCATGGTCATTCAGTGCTTGCTAGTGGCATATAGCTCTGATTGGCTTGTAATTCTCATCTGTCATTAAAGCACGTTGGGCCAGGCAGAAGCATGTAGCAGGTGTGCTTAACAACCACGGCCAAGCCTCATTTTCAAATAAAACTCTCAAATGTCATCCTGCTTATGCAATAAAAATTGAGGCAGGAAATGAGACCTAATGCCAAACTTCAAACTGAGGGAAAAGCTGCTTTTGAATGGATTATCTCTCTTGGGTTGACACAAGTAAAATATGGACATATTTTCTCACTTAGAAGGAGATGGAGAAAGGTTACCATCGAGAAAAGGGAGTTCAGTAAGCCTCAGAAAGCTTGCTCAGACCGGTCCCCTCATGGTATCTTATCCCAGGCACCAGGAAAGTGGGAGAAAGCCAGGCAAACAATGTCTGTAGAAATCCACGATGCTGTTGGTCATCATAGTAGCCCCTTAGGCCTCATTAAAACAGATTCACATCTGATGTCTGCCCTTCAGTTGCCGTGCCCTGTGGCTGGTGGCCACAGTCATGCACACACAGTGTTACAGTCCAGAAGAGATATGCATGACTTCAGAGGGAGTTTCCCAGCATGGGTTTGGCAAGGGGAGAAGGCCTAGTGAGAAGGGTGAGTCTCTCCCCATGGCATTCATGCCTGGCCTTTAGCCATTCTTCAGTGGGAGGTTCTCGGGAAGAGACACGAAAATCAGTCTACAAGGCAGTTCTGCAAAACAGCATGTGATGTCTGCTGCTGATTTTGAAATTCTACCCAGTGAGAAAGGGCTCTCAGCGTGCAATGAAGTTCCCCCTCAGCTTATATGATTATCGGGCTGGTGCATATCTTCTCCTGTCTGTCAGTGCTGCTGTTGAACAGTCCCAAAGCCACAAAGAAACAGCTGGCCTGCTATTCCAAAGAAGGCCATCTGACACACATCTGAAGTCCCCAATCTCAGTTTCCAAACTGAGCATGTTGGGTGGTGGTGTAGTGATCCCGAAGAGGGTCATCAAATCCTCCCAATTGGATTCATTTGAATTAATTTTATTATTAATAATAAATATGTACCCCAAAGCATATATGAGCAGTATCTAGTAGGGCCAACCATTATAGGGTGATTGTCAAAGCCCAGAAGTTAGCAGCACGGTCTGCGTTCAGTCCGAGTGAATTGCAAACCCACAGCTGGATGATTCCCAGGTCCCTTGGGAGCCCCTTCCCCTCAGGTCAGCATAGAGGAACAGATGGCAGCACTAGTAGGTCAAATCTGATTTCCTCAGCCTAGAAATCTGCTGCTTTATCTCAGTCGGGGATTTTAGCTATTCCTGATGGCAGCGATTTCCATCTGGGCCTGTGGTGAGAAATAAACTCTTGAACCATTAAAATTCATAAAGCTGTTAACAGTTAAGATGCAAAATGCTTTTGAGATGTCTCCGAGCATGTGATTGTTGTCTGTTTTGTGTGAAAACAATCATACCTGTGGCGAAAATTCAATATACTTTTAAAAATGGAATCTCTTATGCCAAGACCCTGTGACTTAATGTCATGGAGGTAAGAATTAAATGAGATGGCTATGATGAAAGTGCTAGTTTGAAGATGATAATGTCACTGCCATCTTACAATCCTTTAAGGGAAAAGTATGAAAGGAAATTTGAGATAAAGTTGAGTTTCAAAAATTGAGCTAGGAATTAACAGTCTTTTGATTTAGATGTTAGGTAGAAATCTAGATGGGAAATGAGCAGAGGTGCTCTGGGCCAGGGTGAATTTCTCCCTCAATCTTGAGCCTCCAAGTTGATCTCTGACTATGGCACCCATCTGCTTTGGACAGACTCTGGCAGCTCCCCCAAATGAAACCCAACCCAAAAATTCCCCCAAACATCTCCTTGAGCAGAGCAAACAGGAGGAACTTGCCCTTGTGGTAGCAATTCCTTCCAGGGGCCAGAAAAGAAGTGGGCTACAGGTAAATTGTGAAGATGTGAGCAGATGTCCTTTCTGATGAGATCAATTGCACTAGCAAAATATGAACCTAAGGTTTCCAGATATTTAGACTTCTTAAGAGATTCCAGAATTTTGGATTTTTGTATGAGCTCTTCGTATTTTCAAACATTGATATATAAAAAATAAAAGCCATCAAGTGCTGAGTGTTGTGGCACACATCTGTAATTCCAGATGCTCAGGAGGCTGAGGCAGGAAGATCATGAGTTCAAAGCCAGCCTCAGCAACTTGGCCAGGCTATAAGCAACTTGTTGAGATCTTGTCTCTAAATAAAATATAGAGAAGGGCTGAGGATGTGGCTCAGTGGTTAAGTGCCCCTGGGTAGTTAAATCCCCAGAAACAAACAGAAAACTCTGTTATGTGACCCAAACAAACCATGAATGTGAGTAGGATTTGATGTGTTGGGCACCAGTTTGTACCTGGAGGAAATAGATAAGTTCCACCATAATTTTTTCTGAGGTCTATCTTGTGCCAGACGTTATTCTAAAGGTCACGGACACAGAGGTGAGAAAAACCTAGGGTCTGCTTCTATGAGTTCACAACCCAGAGGAGAGGAAAGCTGACTCATAAATCACTCCAAAGTTCTAGAGCTGGTGATGGGTGGTGGTAGTTAGGGTGACCACCCCTGTTTGCCTGAATTGTTCTGATTTTAATACTGAGAGTGCTATATCCTGGGAAGCCCTTCAGTCCTGGACAAACAGGGATGGTTGGTGATTCCAGTGATGGTTCTCCAGCTAACAAGGGTGATAAGAGAAGAAGCTATAAGTTTAGGAAGATAATGAGTTTGATTTAGAGCATATTGAATTTGAAATGCTGGTGGATATTCAGGGAAGGATATCAGCAGACACTTGGAAATGGAGTCAATAGCTTAGGAATGGAAGGTCTTTGACACAGAGAGAATATATTTAGGGGCCATCAATATAAATAGAGGTTAGTTAGGACCATGAAACAGCTTATATCACCCAGGGGCAGATTGTAGAGCAAAATCAATAAAACTCTGGAGAACGTAATATTGGCAGAGCCTCTGAAATACTGAGGGGGGAACAGAGGATGTAATAAGTACAGACTAAACATGGGGTCTGCAAAGCCAAGGGAGTACAGAGCATCTCAAGGCATGAACAGTCATCAGGGTCAAAGGCAAGGGAGATGTCCAGTACCACCAAGCATGAAGACTGTGGCTCGACACTGGTAAAATTAGCAGAAACCCTTGCAGAGCTTTGACAGGTAGAACGTAGGGTGCTCCTAGGGAGAAGGGAATATGAATTGAAAAGTGGAGACAGTGAGAACAGCCTAATCTGCTAAGAAGCTTAAGGAAAAGGGGACAAGAGAGATAAAGCAATGGCCAGATGGCCATGCAAGGTCAAGGGGGAGTTATTTAAGATGGGTGGGAACTGAACAAATCTCATGAACTATGAAGGAAAAACTGGGAAAAGGAGGAGAATTAAAGTTGTGGCATCCAACAGAGGTAATTGAAGGGTCAGGGCCCATGGAGAGATCAGATGATATGAGATGGACTCAAAGCCACAGAGGAAGATTTTGGCCTTAAGTAAAGGGAGAGAAGAACATAGCACACTCTGGAACTATGGGATGGAGTGCAGGTTAGAGTGATGGAGAAGTGAAGGAGCCATAACCATGTGGAAATGGGAAGACGTGAAACAGAGTGGCAGTTAATGTCAGGGAGAGGAGATGAAAATGAGGAAAAATTGATGGAAACTATGGACAGATGAAGAGAGACCTCAGCCACGACTTTTAAGGGGAACAATAATAGCCTAAAGATTCCAAGTACTTTAAGATAACAATGGACCTAGAGTTTTTTAAAAAGTTCAAGTAAATAGGTATTGCAGAAGTGGCTAACTGCATGCTATTTTTCAGAGGGTTAGAAAATTACTCCCTTTAGGATTAAAGGATTTGAGTCAGATTCAAGTAAGCTGTTAGCTCTGTCTCACACACATACACACACATGTGCAGCTGCACATGTGCACACATGGATACACATAGCTCTGATATGTAAACAAGATATTACCTACTTGAATTACAAAATAGGCATTAAAATGTGTGTTTTCAGACATAGACTGAAGAGAAATCTTTGCTAGGTAGGGGCATTGATACAGAAAGGCAGTGTAAAAGAAAATGTTTCCAATTAAACTTGTATATTCAGTTAGGATGCATTGAGAAATCATTCAAAGTCATTCTGGAGACGCATGCTTTGAAAGGAAATTACCAAAGCCTACAAAGTAGGACTGTGCTCTGTGCCAGTTGGTGGGTGAAGCCATAGCAGCAAGATGTCTATCAGCGAGGGTGATACCCAGCCAGCAGTCAGCAGGGAGGCCTAGCACCCCTGTGAATCACCCCTCACAGCCTAATGTCTCTCCTGGCACGGGAAGTACAGAGGTATTTCATCAGCTCTGCTTATTTTGGTCAACCACTAGGAGGTATGTACTTTTCCTTCTGGATTTTTTTTTTCATTTTTAAAACATCAATGTACCCCCCTAACTCCACCCTAGCATTAAAGCAGTATGTGCCTTTGTACACACTTTGGTCCATGTAGAACAAATAGGACAAAAAAACAATATACTGGGCTGGGGTTGTGGCTCAGTGGTGGAGCACTTGCCTAGCATGTGTGAGGCACTGGGTTCAATTCTCAGAACTACATACAAATAAATAAAATAAAGTTTCATTGACAACTAGAAAAATATTTTTAAAAAACCAGATATCACCTCAGTTTCAAACACATTAACATTTTGGTGAATTTCCTTCTTACCTTTCCATTATGGTTTTCAGGATGAAAAGGACTGACATCTTCCTTACTCAGAGGCACAGAAATTCCAAGACAGAGAAAATTCCTGGCAGAGGCACTGAAAGAGTTGGGTTCTAATCCCAACTCCTCCACTGCAGAGCTACCAATCCTCCTGAGGCTGCCTCCTAATTCATGAGATGATGGCATTGATGGGCCAACCCTGGGGCCTGTTCCAAGACTCAGATGTCACAGCCTGGGCATCCTCACTTCCTAGGAATTTTGGATACAAATTCTTCTTGAGCAGTTAGAGCTCAAATTCAGAGTCTTTCAAAGCTGTGACTATAGGACTGCCAAGGAGGGTCTTTGAAGTGATATGACTGCTTTCTATATTCTTTATGAAGTTCTAGACATTTTTAAAAAGTGATCGCACCGAGTAAGGATGCATTCCAATGCAGGACATGTGTCACAGGATGTGGATAACAGGTTTATGATTATTTAGTGAACTTGGGAAAGCCAATAGCTGATTCATTCGGCTAATCATGCTACTAAAAGAATCAGGAATTAAAAAAAAAATTAAACAAATATGACTCAGCATCTCCCAGTTTGTTTTCTCAGAACAATTAGGAATTTTTTGGGGGGTGGGGGATTGGAGAGACTGAGAGAGAAACAGAGAAGGAGAAGGAGAGATGGATCCATCAGTGGTCAAGTGAATTCAGGAAAGATTAGGGGTTTAGATCAAGTGTAACAGGTTTCTTTACTATAGGACCTTAAGTATGCTTGAATGAGAATACCGAAGATAATATGGAGTCTGTATTCTAAACTATCCTGATCATGACTACTTTGTTAAGGCACACAATTCACATCCAAAAGATTTAATTTTATATAGAACATAGTTTGAGCAATATTGGTCTATCTCCTTTCATCAGTTCCCAAAGAGTAGTTTTCTTAAAGCACCGTTATAAATCTTTCAATAATCATTCCTGATTGTTCTGGTCATTGTGGGGATATCTTGAGCTGATTTTTTTTTTTTTAAACCCATACCTTTCTTGACATTTTATAAGATACGTTTTATAAATTGCATCTGAAGGGTGATTTTTATTTTCTCAAGTGTATGTTTATCATGTGAGTGATAACCTGAACTCTCATCATTCCTGTGTTCTTAGCTCTGTGTTTAATCTCTGTGATCTTGGATGAGTCATCTTTAAGTAGGGTTAGGTGACATAGGCTGGGGTATCTCCCTTAGGCAGAAAACTGGTTCAAGAGCCAACTCAGAATTATAGGATTTGGGTAAGTCAGAGGAGAGGTAAAGGTCTTGGAGTGAGAAGAGGAAGCACGGAATCTTGGCATGGAGAGGAGTCAAGGGTGAGTCAGAGGATTCTGAGCTCCCCATTGCCTGGGCCTGCTCTTCTAAGAGAGATCAATATAAAGACAGGGAAGGTTAAGTTCAGGATCAGCAGAGGACTACTCTTCATGGGGAAGGTTAGGGATCAAATTCAGAGGAAAGTCTTGGACCTGGGCCTGGGCTACCTGTCACCTTCTGGGATTATAGGAGGTTGGTTCAGGCAGGAGGGTGAGCTGCATCTGCAGATACGTGGGCTGAGGAGCCCAGGAAGGAGTGATTCCTGGCATCTGGACCCAGATAAAGTCTTTGAAGCACTGGGTTTGAGGGGTCTGTGTGTGGGTATTTATTTCTACCCGGCTCATCACCTGTTAGGAATATTTCTTTATAGATACATCAGCCATTACTAAATAAGACCCAAATCTGCCTCAAGTAGAATAATGCTGCTATTAATGTGATTCACTTAAGAACAAGAGACATTTGTTATCAAAGGCATCTTTATCAAGAGTCTTAGGATATATCTCAAGTGGAAGAAAAAGGAGGTTTCTAGGGATAATTAGTAAAAGTAAAATTATTCTTTGTTCTCCCTCCTGTTCCAGCCCATCTCCCTGTTGTCTCCAATCTGCTTTTGGCCATAAACTCACTTCCTACATTTCTAATTCTTTTCTATGCTGTTTCCTAGAAATCTTGGCTTGGTTTTGTGTCATTGTTGTTGTCCAGATTTTTTTGACTGATCTTAGCACCTAAATAACCAGATTTTCTGGTTTGGGCTTCTGAGGCCCCTCCATCCCTTTCATTCTCCCTCTGTATCTGAGGACAGGGTAGGAGCTGAGCTCAGAAGCACAAGATTGGCAGGGTAGAGGAAACACCTGACTTCGGGAACAGACCCTCTGGATTCAGGAAGAGACCCTCTGGCTCTTGTCTCCGGGTTTCCTGGAGTCATGGAATGTGGCCCAGAGGGCTGAGCCTCTGAACTCTGGTCTTTCTGATCACCTAGATTCCTGGTAGAAAGACACTGTAGGGAGGGACGGAAATGGCAAATGCCCAAGGCAAATGATCCAAAGCACAGTCAGGAGTAAGATGAAGAAGGAAGGACAAACTGGCTGAATCTAGGTGATCGAAAAGACCAGAGGTCAGAGGCTTAGCCCTCTGGGCCACATAAACAAGACTGTACAAAATACTAGGAACAGAGTGGAAATAGAAAAACATCTGGACAAGGGGTCTGGCGAGCTGTCTTACTTGGCTCCACTCTGTCTCTAACATGCTGTGTGATCCGAGACAAGTCGCTTCACCTTTCTGGGCTGCAGTTCTCCAGTCACTTTCCCCATAATGAAAAGATCTTTTGGGACCATGTGTCATATTCTTCCTCTTACAAAATAGGAATTGACTGCAAAAAGGGCCAAACTGAACCAACTAAACCCCTTAGGAATCTTCAGAACCAGTGATGACACCTATATTTAAAGAGTTTCTACTATAATAATCATCATTAAAAGCCTAAGGATGCAACAAAGAAAAGGCTGCAGGTGATCAAGTGTTGGATGACTGCAGAAAACAAGAACAAAATCCATGACAGAAGGGTTGGGGCTGTGGTTGACAAGGCATTTTTATGAAAAGCAGATGTGGGACAAATTCCTGGGATATCAGGTCCTTGCTTGCACTACATCTATAAAGCACTTGGGGCAATTTATGGGTCATTATTTGAAGCTAATGGTGTGGCCAAGAATCAGAGAAATGTCTCCACTTTCTACCCTGCAGCTAGTCTTCCTGAACATCCATCCATATTTATTTATTTATTCATTAATTCATTAATTAATTAATTTGGCAGTACTGAGGATTGAGCCCAGAGCCTCGTGCATGCTAGGCATGTGATCTGCCATTGAGCTACATCCCCAGCCACATTTCTTAGATATCACTATGGAATAATGCTTTATAATATGCCCCAGTTACAGTAAGCTCCAGATGTTAGGAATTGGATAGGTCATTCCTCACTATCATTGAATGAAAGGCCTAATCAATGGATAAAAGAACATGGGAGCTTATGGGAGCCCTCAACAGGGCTAAAGTGACTGGTTTATGCATCAACACACAGCATGGAGCTGCTGAGGGGAAAGTTTGATAGGAATCCTGAGATTTGCATCTTTGCATTCATTCCATGGCATGCCTGCTGTAACACAGAACAGATGAGTGTTAATGTGGAACAAATAAACCCAACTGTGACTATCTGGTAAATCCTGGGAGTAGAAGAGTCCTCAAGAGCTCAACCTGTGCTGCCTCTGAGATGTCCTTGGTTTCTGACATGATGGTTTATTTATCAACTTTTTTAAGGAGAGCCTTGGAATGTGGGCCAGATAAAGTGGGTATAAAGCTGACTTGCATTCCACATGTAGAACGTGATTCCTTGGTTCCCAAACTCAGCTGTTCTCTCTTTGACCCACCTTGCTTTGTATGCTGTCATTCTTAACAGTTTTTTTGAAGAATCTAAGAAAGTTGTGCTGGTAGGATATGAGAGAGCAAGGCCAGTTATTAAGTGTCCCTTTCTTCAAGGCTTCTTTCCCACCTTCTCTCACCTCTGCCATCAGCTCTTATCTGTCCAGGGAAACTGTTTGCCAAAAACACTGATTAGACTTTCACAGTACATTGCATTTTGGGGGAGATGATCCTGATAGCATTTTCACAGCTTCCATGGAAGGTTCTGAGATTATGTATCTTATCTTCAAGCCACTCTGTGTCTTTGTCTAAGCTGCAGGTTATCTCCAAGGGTTTTTTTTTTTTTTTTTTTTTTTTTGGTGTGTTTTAAATGGGTTAGGTCCTTTGAAGTTTGGAAGAAAGTTCTTCTTGGGTCTTTCTGCAACTCTGTGAATGTCACAATATTATCTTTCCAGACCATTAGTGATGCAATTCCAGAACCAACGAGGATGATTGATTATTTATAATTAGGAAAGCTAGAAGATAAGCAAGGTGAAAATGAAGAATTGAAAGGGAACCTGGACTATGTTCTAGTTTGCATCCTGTTTTTCTTCTTCTTCTTTTTTTACTTTTTTGGTTGGGCTGGTCTTGAGGTGAGCAAAGGGTGACTCATGCTCTGTCTAGTTGCCAATACAGTCATCCATGGATTTCTATTCACAAGCCATCACGTACTCCTGGTCTGGTTCCTAAGAAGCCTGCAGCTTTTAGGGAAGCTGGTTGATGGAGGTGGAGGAGTGTACTTATAGAGACACTGAAGCTCACAGGTACTAGGACAAAGGCTGTGACTTTGTGGCTTGGGTTGCCAGAGAGATTGATGGAGTGCTTCTTTGAATTAGCAGGGATGGCAGAGGTTGTCTGTCTCTAACATGCTGTGTGATCTGAGGCAAGTTGTTTCACCTCTCTGGGCTGCAGTTCTCCAGTTACTTTCCCCATAATGAAAAGATCTTTTCAGACTACGTGTCATGTGTCATATTCTTCCTCTTACAATAGGAATTAGTTGCAAAAAGTGCCAAACTGAACCAATTAAACCCCTTAGGAATCTTCTGCACTAGTAATGACACCTATATTTAAAGACTTTCTCCCATGGGTTTTGATTTCAAGCTAATGGTGTGGCCAAGAATCAGAGAAATACCCATCCCTTCTCCATCAGCTCTGTCAGAAGGTCTTAAAGTGTCTGAGATGCTCAAGAAAACAGAGCAAAGCACGGAATGGGGCTAGCACAGATGCTCCTTAGCATACAAAGGGGTTACATCTTGATAAACTTACTTGAAGTTGAAAATATCACAAGCGGACAATGCATTTAAATAACTATCCTACTGAACACCATAGCTCCGCAGTGCAATCCACTAGTGCCAAGAAGATCCAGAGAGCACTGTACTGCATATTGCTAAAGTGAGAAAATCAAAATTAAAAATAAGAAGTGTGTTTCTACTAAATACACATTATTCTTGCACCAACATAAAGTTAAAAAAATAAAATAAAAATTTAAAACACCATAAATTGGGGACCATTTGTAATGGATTAAATAGTTTCCTCTTTTATGTTGACCCTTACATTTATTTACCTATAGCTGAAATCCACTAGTTTTTACTCACTTTCTTCATAGCAACAAAAAGGAAATATCATTTTTTGACAGTCCTTCCCTGTAATAAGTCTTCTGTTATTTTTTTTTTCTGCTTCCTATAACCTCTCAAAGTTGACCATCAGTGACTCTAAAATTCATGTAGGCCTGGAAAGATAGAGCCACTTAAAGTAACCAAGTCCTCTCTCACAAGCT